TAAAAAATTTCTTTTTATATTTTTAGTTGTATTATTTCAAAAACTAATCTTGCAAAGATGTTGAAGTAAATTTATACAGTGTTATATCTTATTCATTATTTTTATTTTAACAGGTGAATTATAAAATTCCGAAACTCAGAAAAGGAGCAGTTCCATCCATCTTCCCGAATTGTCCGAAATATCTCTTCAAAATTGCGCCAAAGCGAAGGAATCCAATTGACCGCAACACTTTTTCTCATTATTCAAATACAACCGCTGAGACGAGAATTATTCACACTTCTCCTATTGAAATCACAGCTATGGAAGTCGAAAACTGTGAAGAAAATATAAATTCATCTAATGAAAAAGGTCAAGACTGCGATAATAACATTCAACCAAGTAACGATTTCATACCTCAAAATAAGGAGTTGAGTGAATCTGAAAGGTCTGATTTATTTAATACTCTTTTTTCTGATAAATCTGCATTTAAGTTATCAACTGCTTGGGTGAGATACGATATCGAAAATGCAGATTTTCGTGCTATTGAATTTTCTGAATGTGCGGCTCGGTGGATCGACGAAAAATTAGTAACTGTTCATCACAAAAAAATCATACTTTATCAGGATATGACAACCCACGTATCGGCAATGAACAGTTCTTTGGAAAAGAAAACTGTGGGACTCACAGAAAATTTTATTTCTTCAGCCCTTGAATTAGAAACGGCAATGGATGTTTTTCATAAATTGAAAATATGCCAAGGATGTGCTTCTTCATCCATTCGTAATTTGAAAAACACATTCACTTTCCAGGATTCACTTGGCACATTGAGACACACAAAGTGTTCTCTCGTTTTGGACGCAAATTGCAATCAACAATCCAAGTATTGTCAAAATTGTAAAAAAGCCAAAATCACTTTGTCGAAGAAAACTGTACGCTTGCAAAGGCAAACAAATTTTAAACGCATTGTTCTCAAATTGAGTCCTCAAAAGAGAATGAAACTACAGAATTTAAATAGGAAATTTAATACCACATATAAGCAGAAAGTTCGCCTAATGGGACGTAAGCATCAATTGGAAAAAATGAAAAACGAGTTAAACTCTGTAAAAAATATCTCCTTGGAAAAAGAATTGGAAAAATTAAAGATTCATAAAAATGAGGCGACAGTAATTTCCGAAATAATAAAAGCTGCTCAGTGCAAGGATTCAAAGGGACGTAGGTATTCCGACAATTGGCTAATGCTCAGTCTTCTATTTCACATGCGATCGCCTAAAGCATATAGATTGTTACGGGATTCAAAAGTATTGCCCCTTCCTTGCGTAAGCACAATTCGCAGGTAATTATTAATTTTTTGACTCTTGTGACTAAATGAACTAACCGATTTCATTTTCCATTAGCTTGTTTAAAAGATCATTTAATTAAGCAACTTTTTCTCAGAAACACCTATACTTTATCTTTTATTGTTTAGTTGCTGTGTTAACTTTAAAATTTTTTGCAAACGCTCCGGTTTGCCCTACACTCTTCCCTAACCATTATCTTCAGTATGATATAGACAATTTTTATTTTGATATTTTATAAAATTCATAAATTTAATTTGTAATATTTTTGATGTGTTTTATAATTTAATTTTTAAATTCATATTTTCACTTTATAATACAGGTATATGACATTTATAGAAACTCCTTGTGGGTTTAGTGATCAGTTATTGACATTACTTGCAAGTAACACTACCCAAGTGCCAATCGGCGATTGACTTGAGTTTGTGAGCATTTTTTAGAGGACCTAAAAATATTTGACACGTATTTTTTTATATCGGCAATGAAGATGTTTTAAGGGTTGAAAATAGGGGTTGAAAAGTCATATTTTGAGTGGCAAAATATGCATATCATGGTAGAAAGTTTAATTTAAAGAAACTTTAATTAAAATATTAATTTATTTATTTAAGAAATGTTTGACACATTTTAAGGGTAGAAATTACCCTTATAAACCTTTTTGAATGGGGTGAGTTAATCCTTTAAATCCCAACGGTTTCGATTAAAACCACTTTTGCATTTAAACATTCATAATTTTGTCAAAAATTAATAAATTTTTGTTTACTAAACACAATTGTCCTACAAATTTGATTTACTTTATGAAAATAATAATAATTTTGGGCAATATTCTTCACATTCCTGAAAAGTCAATGAATTCGCCTAAAATTTGTTACTCGAGGGTTTTTGGTGTCACTGATTACAAATATTCAAAAATTCAAAATGGCGGATTCAATATGGCGGACTTATTTTTTAAATTGATCAAATTCACTTGAAACTTGTTACTCGGGGGTTTTTGGGGTCGCTGATTACGAATATTAACTACATTTTCAAAAATTCAAAATGGCGGATACAATATAGCGAACGAGTTTTATAAAAATTCATCCAATTCACTTGAAACTTGTCCCACAGGGGTTTTTAGGGTAGCTGATTACGAATATGAAATTCATTATCAAAAATTCAAAATGGCGGATTCAATATGGCGGACAAGAAACTTCAAATATCATTATATTGGCTTAAATCTTGGAACTTGGGGGTTTTTGGGGTCGCTGATTACAAATATGAACTGTATTTCCAAAAATTCGAAATGGCGAATTCAATGTATCGGACAAATTTTTTAAACTTGATCAAATTCATTTGAAACCTGTTACTCGGGGGTTTTATGTACGTTGATTAGAAACCCCCGAGTTACAAGATTTAAGCCAATAGAATGAAATTTGAAGTTTCTTGTCAGCCATTTTGAAATTATGAAAATGAATTTCATATTCGTAATCAGCGATACCGAAAACCCCCGAGTAACAAAATTCAGGCGAATTCATTGCGTTTTCTGCAATCATAAGAATATTGCACAAAATTTTTAAATTTTACATTAGATTTGACACCATATTGGTCCGCCATCTTGAAATTTTTAATTCTACTTTACTTTTCTCGAAAGTGTATAATTTTTATGCACCGATGGTTGAAAATAGAATTTTATTCTTACAATTTTTCGAGGTAAATAAATGTCAAACTTGAAAAAATGAAATTTTTTTGTTTTTTGACATTAAAACCGCCATATTTAATTTTGGTTTGGACGAAATTTATTTTTGACACCGGAATCGAAAAGAACACATCTAAAATTGTCAACCGTTTTATTTATAATTACGTAGCTTGAAAATGACCAAAGAATTTTCACGAGTTGGGCGTTAATGGGTTAAGTGAAGCTATCAAGTTTTTTAAAATGGCCTTAAAGGGTTAATCACTCCCTTCCCAATTTTTTGTCCGACATATTGGATCCACCATTTTGAATTTTGAAAAAGTTGACAACAGATTCGTAATCAGCGACCCTAAAATCGCCGAGTGTTCATTTTTATGAGCTCATAATAAGCTTTGAGTAATTAAAAAAATTACCATTTTCTTTGCAAGTCTTATCAAAAACATCTTTTTTAATGTTATAATAATAAAATTGTTATAAACATATTGTACTATTATTTTCATAAAGTAAATCAAATTTGTAGGAAATTTGTGTTACTTGTTGGTGATCGACTAAGCTCTATGCCCGAAATATCAAGACATGGAATTATTATGTTTGATGAAATGCAAACACGAAAGAACATTAGACTAGACTCGAAGACAATGAAGTACACAGGTCTCGTGGATTTTGGCGATGAAGAAGAGTGTAGAAATATTAATGAAGTCGCAGATCACGGTTTACTTTTCGCTTTCCATTCGTTAAGTGATAATTTCACGCAACCGATAGCTGTTTTCGCGTCGAAAGGTCCAACCCGTGGAGTAACTTTAGCTAAATTAGTTATACAATGTATAGCTGTTTTAGAAAAAGTTGGAGCAAGAGTACATGGTGTTGTGTCCGATGGAGCAGCAACAAACCGCAAATTTTGGACAGAAATGGATTGTAGTAGTAGTAGTAGTAGTAGTAGTAGTAGTAGTAGTAGTAGTAGTAGTAGTAGTAGTTTTCTTTGTATATTTATGAATTTCATGTTATATAATGTTTTATATATATATAATACATTTTTTTTATAAACTCTTTTTTATTTATCTTGAATAACCATTATTTTTTGTCAAATTAATACATTTTTCCTATTATTGTAATGCTTTTATGATGCGTGGTGCGCGCAGCGTCATCTCTCGGAATATTTTAGCATATAGAAATGCAAACCACTAAGCTGACATATTTTTAGTGTACAATGTATAGGAGTCCTACTGGGGTGTTCCTAATAATGCACAAAAGTGGCGATTTCAGATAGCAGACGAAAGGGAGTAAAAGTCATTCACTTGTTCGACTTGTATGAAAATGGCGGCCATTTTCTCCCTTGGGCAAAAATAACGCTTGGGATCAGCTAATTTTCTTGCCCATGGGAGAACACGGCCGCCATATTCATACGGTCGAAGAAATAAATGACTTTCCTCCCTGTCGTCTGCTATCAGAAAGCGCCATTTTTGTGCATGTGCGATAAAAAAGTTTTTAGAGCAAAAATGGACGTCCTCGCTGTACTGGTGATGAACGGAGTGCACTCCGGATTACCGTAGATTACTAGAATAGACGTAGCTCTTTTGAGACTTAGGAGAGCAGAAAGGCACGAAAAGAGGAGTTATTAGCCTTATATGAACTAAACTTAAAAAGAAAGAAAACATTTTTAGTACCTTTTTTTAAATAAAAAAGTAGGCAAAAAATCGAAATTTTTTTTAAAAGTGTCAATTTTTTAATTTTCAATATTTTCACTTAAAAGATAGTTCACTTAATGAACAAAAATGACACGACAGTCATGAACTCCGGTGGAGTAGCTCTGTATGCAATAGCTCACAATTTGGAAGATTTTTGTTATATACCCTTAAAAAAATATGAGTTACAGTTAAATATATGAACAACAGGATAGAAATGTTTTATTTCATTCAAAAAAATTCTTACCTTAAAAAAAATTGCGAAAAACGGCTAAAAAACAGCGTTCTAATGTGGTTTCCCCCCTTAAGTATTATGTAAATAATGTATATGCTAACCTGCTTTATGTGCCATGGCAACCATTTTGCTCATTCTAACCTGCTGAACTTTACATAAACCAGTAATTCTCTGTGGCAGCATACAACCATCTGATCGTACAAACTGACTTATTATTAAGACATCCTGCAAAAAATAATTTCAATTAAATACTGAAATATGTGCATATATAGTTCAGTATGTATTGTAGAAAAAACTTGTAGTCCTTCAAATTTATTTTATTATTTTTTCTTCTCAAATCCCAGTGAGAAGTACAAAATCTAATAGTGTACTAGTGCCAGTCTAACATACGTATTTGCAATTAATTAGATATCGAATAAATTGTCTAAATCGTCCATTGTACCTCACATTTCTTGATGGTGCGCATTAACAAGAATTAAGTAGTCTAATAAAATTATTTAATATCAATGAGTGCCGGGCTGAAAGTTTCCTTTTCATCTAAAAAAACAAATACAAAAATAATAAAGTGAATGTGTGAATAATTAATGGACCCAAAAACTGATTGAATGTGAAAAAAAATATTTTATTGAATATTTGCAGTAATTTTCAATATTTCTTTAAAGAAAATGGTTCTTTTCTGTGTAGCTATACCAAAAATATAATATATATTATTATATATACAAGAGACTTCTTTCCCTAAAATTTTTTTTTAAAAAATTCAAAAATTGTTGAAGATACGCCATTTTGAATTTTAATATTAATTTTATAAAATTTTGAATATCTCGGAATATTATTTGTACCGATTTTTTCTTTTTTGTCTTGGAAGAACCCTTTCAGCATAACAAGTCAAAACAATGCCCATTTTAGTTTTTATTTGAATCACGTAGTGCTAATGCAACGCTTGGCAACAGTCCATTTGTATCTCACACATTTTACTTCGTGTCGTCTGCCAATGTTTTTATTATCATGTCGGAATTAGAAGAAAATGCTGTGCAAAAAGCAAAAATTTATCGTTGGAAGGGTAAAATAGTTACCCAAAGAGTTTATGAGAACCGCTGCAGGTTGCAGGAGGTGGGAAAAAACCTTCGTGATGTTTATGGGATCAGGAATGATCAAAAAGCTAACCTCAAAAGTGTGAACAGTGAACAGAGTGAAGGCAGACGAATAATTCATCTGAAAACATTGTCAGAACAATTGTTTTGTGGAAACTGCAAATCGATTTTGTCATTAAAAGACGTTGTTAATGAAACGAGGTTTGGTTTGGCGTCTGTCTTTACTGTAAAGTGCAGAAAATGTTGTTTACTCACTCAAGTGTCATCTGATAAACAACATACTGTTTCCGGACAAAATAAACATTTTGATGTTAATACAAAAGTTGTTGTTGGTTAGTATAAATAATTATAAGTTTACTTCCTCTATTAAAAAATACTAATAAATATATATTTCTAGGAACATTGAATGCAGGATTGGGCAATACTCATTTAAATAGAGTTTTAACATCGGTAAATATTCCCGGATTCGGATGGAATATTTTCAAGACTCACGAAAAAGAAGTGGGAACTGAAGTCGAGAAAATGGCACACGAGAGTTGCTTAAAAGCAGCAAACGAAGAAAGAGAATTAACAATTTCAAATTATGAGGAAGTAAAAAAATTGTTGTAGGTTTTTTAGTTCATAAATAATGCAAAACATTAATTTGTTTATCATATACTATTGATTATTGCATTTTATGCAATTATAATTTTAAATTTTTTGATCAAATTTTTATCATTCTGATTTATTTTTAATTTGTTTATTGTATTATACTATTTTTTGCTTTACAATTTTGTATTATTTAATTCAATAATTCAATAATTTACTCTTTATTTACTTTATTTTATTAATTTATAGAACCAATGGATATAAAGTTAATTTGAAAGTCTTCTCAAATGTTTTTGTATTTGAATTATTTTCCACTTTTTGGAAGAAGTTATAACTTTCTTAATTTCTTGATATTAAAATTTGGTTATTATATTTTTTATTTTATTTTAAGTATTAAATAACATATTTATTAATTTTAATGTTTATAATAACATTGTAATATTAATTTTAATTAAGTTTTAATTCTATTTTTCTTATATTGCCTTAAAAATCTTTTATACTTATATACTTTCTATTTATAATAAATGGATATATGCGTTTTGTTTTTTGTAAAATGTATATCTATTTTTTACTAAATAAATAAATTGTGAAACTTTTTATTATGCCTTTTTTACTTAAACATTTAATGTTATTTCAGGCCGAAAAATTTGGATATTCACTTTCTTTTTCCTGATATTCCGAATAATGTCGAAATTTTTCAAATTGCGGCAAATAATAAAGTACGTGTTGCTGCTTCTTTCGATACAGGTTGGTTTACGCGAGGAACGGGTCGATCTTACGACAGTATTTCTGGCACTGCGTCGCTCATGGGTTTTTTTTCTAAGAAAGTTATTTCCTATGCGACTTTTAATCGAAAATGTAGGATGTGTGAGCGCGGACATCCCAAAGATGACCACGACTGCCGATTAAATTTTGAGGGAAGTGCAAAGGCGATGGAGCCTCAAGGAGCAATAAATCTAATCGCAAAAAATCCCATTTTGAACGAGTGCAATATTGAGGTTGGTGTTATGATAGGAGACAATGATAGCACTGCAATTTGTGCTGCACGAAATGCAAGCACACATGACATCATCAAACAAAGTGATACTAACCACACGAGTAAAGGTTTGACAAATGAACTCTACAAAATTAAAAAAAAAATATAAAGAGCTTAATACTACTACGATAAATTATCTTCAAAAGTGTTTTAATTATTCTATTGCACAAAATAAAGGAGATTGTGAAAATATGTCAAAAGCGATTCGAAACATACCGTATCATTGTTTCAATAAACACCAAAACTGTGGGGCATGGTGCACTTTTTCAAAAAATCCCGAAAATTACAAACATTCAAATATTGGCGATGGGTTTCAAGATCCAGAATTTTTCAAAGAATTAGAGTGTCTTTTTAATATTATGGCTAAAAATGCGAGTCGATATTCTGCAGGGGGTTCTAGTAACCCAAACGAAAGCCTAAATGCTACGATTGTCAGTAAGGCACCAAAACGTTGTGTATACGGAATGACATCATCTAGTGATGTGCGAGTTGCTTGTGCAGTTAACAAAAAGAATAAGGGAGAAAAATATGTACCTCAATTATTAAATAAATTAAACTTATCTCCCGGAGTGCACACTGAAAAATACAGCGATAACGTCGATGAAAAAAATAAAAAAAGATATTTAAAGTCTTTAACTACTGCTTTCAAAAAACGTCGATTATTTCTCAAGAAGCAAAAAACTGAGTTGCGGAACAAGAAAGAACTTTCGGAAGGAACAAATTACGAATCGAACATTGGACTCCTTACTCCTGTAGATGAGAATATTCCACTTGCAAACGTCGATAAAAATTCCAAACCCATAGTCATATTATTTGACTTAGAAACAGGAAGTCTAAAAAAAGATACGGATATTTTGCAAATCGCTGCAAAATATCAAGGATATGAATTTTCGGTGTATGTAACTCCTTCACAAAAAATTTCCGAAAATGCAAGTCTCGTTAATGGTTTGCGTTTTGTTAATCAGCAATTGCACCTCCACGGTAAACCTGTTGAAACCGTTTCATTAATGGAAGCAATGCTCGCATTCTACCAATTTATTTGCTTTTTTGGAAAAAAATGTGTACTCGCAGCACACAATTGTAAATTCGATTACCCCCGGCTAATTTTGGCGACACAAAAAGTTTTCATGACAAAGCATTTTAAATCGGTCGTAGAAGGATTTTCTGATACATTGCCCTTAATTGCTAAGTCCACGGGTAAAAAGGGGAAAGGGCAAAATAAATTGGAAAATCTTGCAAATAGCTTTGGTATCAATGCAGACGAGGCGCACAATGCAATATGCGATGTTCAAATCCTCCTGCAAGTTTTAATGAAACTAGAAATTTCGAACCAGCAGATCGTCAAAGCAACTTTAAGTTGGGATAAAATCGAGAAAAAATCAATTGTGTCAAAAGGTTCATCAACATCTATAAAGCAGCTGGACTCATTGAAGACATGCACAACATACGCTACTAGGAAAAAAATGGCAGCTGCAAATATTACGTTTGACATGATTCTCAATGCGTATAAAGAAAACAAATTTATGGGTTTAATGGACATTCTAGGTCTCGATGAAAACGGAAAGGTTAAAGTTACTAAGCAGCAAAGAGTAATAAATAAAATTATTGACTTCTTAGAAGGAAACTCCAAATAATCGTTCCAAATGCTTTTTATAAGTTTCAGTCAAAACGAAATATTTAAATATATTATATTTTTTAAACAAAAGACTTATAGCATTCGTATAAATTATAAAAACGTGTTAAATAGAAAAGAAATTGTTAGTTTAACAATATAACATATCATTTAATTGTTAAAACGTATAAATGTAATTTACGTTTTTGTTAAAAAAATTAGAATTAAATGAAAATAGAACAATGTAAAAGTTGCCAAGTAGCAAATGGTGCTTACCAAATATTGTTGACTTCATAAAAAAATTATCTTACCAAATGTTACTTATAAATAGTGTAACTCAAATTATTTAAATTGATTTTATTATGTTATGTTTCATTGTGTATAAAGTGGTCAAAGCAAAATATTTATTGACTCTATTAAAATCAATAAGTGGTACTAAATAAGAAATGAATGTGATTTTAACCAAATATACTTTTAATAAAAATATATTTCTTAAAAAATAAATACTGATTTTTTATTTTAAAAAAACCAAAATAAATACTTGTTATAAAATATAATAAATAATATTCTTTTGCCAGAGAACTTAAAAATGTAAACAAATTATGTATTTTTAAATTATTAATTTTTCTTATTTTACCAACCAATTCAATTTTTTTATAACGTAAATAAATTTTCAAATCTTGTTAACCTTATTTATTTTTTGTTTTATTATATTTATTAATATATTCATTAATTAATTAATTCCAACTTATTATTTGCAAATTTATTCAATTTTTTAAATTAACAATTAATGTGTAAGAAACAGATAAAATATTAATTAAAATAATTTTATATTTTCTTAACAATTTTTTTAATGATGAATTTTCCATTAAAATATTTTTAATTATTAGAACCAAAG